TCAACAAGATAATGCCAGACCACATTCTGCAGCAATCACAACATCATGGCTACGTAGGAGAAGGATCCGGGTACTGAAATGGTCAGCCTGCAGTCCAGATCTTTCACCTATAGAGAACATTTGGCGCATCATAAAGAGGAAGGTGCGACAAAGAAGGCCCAAGACGATTGAACAGTTAGAGGCCTGTATTAGACATGAATGGGAGAGCATTCCTATTTCTAAACTTGAGAAACTGGTCTCCTCTGTCCCCAGACGTCTGTTGAGTGTTGTAAGAAGAAGGGGGGATGCCACACAGTGGTGAAAATGGCCTTGTCCCAACTTTTTTGGGATTTGTTGACGCCATGAAATTTTGAAACAACATATTTTTCCCTTAAAATGATACATTCTCTCAGTTTAAACTTTTGATCTGTGATTTGTGTTCTATTCTGAATAAAATATTAGATGTTGGCACCTCCACATCATTGCATTCAGTTTTTATTCACAATTTGTTTAGTGTCCCAACTTTTTTGGAATCCGGTTTGTATTTCAGTTATGGGTAATTGTCATGACAGACACGATTATGTGCAATATCATGACAGTTTATGTTACATGCTAATTTTTGCTAAATGTTTCCTAGTAAGCGTGTGCACTATATGGCCAAAGATAGCCCTGAGCATCACACCCATGAGCTTGTTGGGCATCCCATTTCTATGAGCATTAATATGGAGTTGCCCCCCCCTTTGCAGCTATAACAGTTTTCCCTCTTCTGGGAAGGCTTTCCGCAAGATTTTGGAGTATGTCTGTGGGAATTTGTGCTCATTCAATCAAAAGATTGAGGTCTGGCACTGCTGTTGGACAAAAAGGCCTGGCTCACAATTGACATTCCAGTTACATCCTGAAAGCGTTTGATGGGGTTGAAGTCAGGGTGCTGTACAGGCCACTGGAGTTCCTCCACACCAAACTCATCAAACCATGTCTTTATGGACCTCTCTTTGTGCACATGAGCACAGTCATGCTGTAGCATTAATATTACCCTCAGGGTAGATATCGCTCTCATAGCATTTGGCAAACCCAGACTTGTCCGTCAAACTGCCAGATAGTGTAGCATCATTTGTGACTCCTGAGAACATGTTTCCTTTTCTCCATAATGTAGTGTTAGTGTGCTTTACACCACTCCAGCTGATGCTTAGCATTAAATATAGTGATCTGAGGCTTGTGTGCCAGTTGCTCCCTAAAAGAAAAGTCAAATGAATTTTTGCACACTCCACACAAAATGTATCACTTGTGAAAAAAATGTGATCACGTGAATGTAAGGGGTTGAAAATCTTAACAGAGATGCATCAACACCCTTGGGTTTTAAAATGTTGAGGTAATTTCTTTTTTGTGTGCTTCCTTGTCATTCTTTTCTTGGGTTTGTAAATAAACTTCATGTCTTAAAAGCAGATCAGCTTGAGTAAAAAGGGTACTAAATGGGTTAACGGCACTAGACCAGCAGGGGGTGCTCCATACCAAGAGGACGGCTGGTGTGCATAAAAAGGGCGCTGAAGAAGTTTTACTGGTCTTAGAATGTATTTGTATGTGCCTTGTGTTTTATGCTATTTTATGCCATCGTGTAAGCTCATGTAGCTGCGATAGTGCCACGCTGCTAACATTAACTTTAGCATTAGCCTAACTAAGCTGCTATAGTGGTTTTACAGGGGTTCTCTGTGAAGTAAAGCTTTGCTATTGTGTATGTGTTGTGCTCAGGTGCTGCTATAAGTGGAAACGCGCTTCTGATTGAATTACTGTCGCGTTAATGCTTATAAGTTGAGTTGAGAAGCACTTTAATTGCATTTGCACTTCAAACTCGTTTTAGTATTCCCTTTTATAATGAAGCTGTGATAGTGTATTATGGTTTACATGTGTTTTAGGGTTTTTATCACATTGGTGTTGTCTATTTATTGCTTTGGTTTTCTTTTCTTCTTTTCTTTATTTTCCTTTCTTATATAAGCTTGAGTTAAGCAACGTTGGTTTATTAATTTAATTTGTTTCCTTTTCTAATTATGTATTCATGAGTTTGGGTATTTCAAATTGATTTTTGGTCCTTAGGCTTATTTCATTGAGAATGTTTGTTTGTTTGTTTGTTTGTTTGTTATTCCATAGTGATTAATTGGGTTATTCTGTGAATTTGTGGTCTTTATTTCTTTTTCTAGTTTCTTTTTCTAGTTTCTATACTTATTTATTCTATGGAATTTATAAGGATTAATATTCAAGTATTTAAATTGCTATTGGTTTTTGTATTTTTGTATGAATAAATTTGAACGCCAGAAGATTGCACATCAAAACGTTTGTGTCCATTCTCTCTTTTATTAAGGGAATCGGGCGTTGTACTGCGCCCCGGGTTTCCCCTAGGCCTGGGGCCGGTAACATGAACAAATACAAAACAAAAAAACACACTTCACATAAATACGTTAGATTTTTCTGTGAGGGCTCAGCCATGGAAACCCATTTCATGAAGTTCACTTCTATTCAGTTAATAGCACTTATAGTTGACTGGGGCAGACCTAGCAGGGCAGAAATGTCACAAACTGACTTGTGGCAAAAATGAAATACTATGACACTTACACGTATAAAGTCATTGAGCTCTTTGGTATGACTCATTCTACTGCCATCTCTGTTTATCTATGGAGATTTTATGGCTATGTGCTTGATTTTATACACCCATTAGCAATAGATGTGGCTGAAACACCTGCACTCAATAATTAGGAGGGTCTACATACTTTTGGTCAATTTAATTGGTATTTTATGAAAGCTGTTACATAGTTTATGACAACCACAATAACATTAATGTACAGTATTTGACATCTTAATTTGCATGTTAATACAACTTTTAAACATATCCATGTTTAACAGATTACAGGTTGGCTAATACAAATGGAGACCATAAGAATCTACTGTTATTACAAAAATAGTGCTTAATGAACTCACAGACAGTAATGAATGTTTCAGGAGCCAACAAGTCTCTTGCATTCCAATGGGATGTGCTGCATGCCAAAAATTAATATCTGCCATATTATTGAGCTTTAACTATAGAGGAAATGTCATTAATAAGTTTGAATGTTAAGACAGGTGAGAAAAGGCTTGCTTTTCTTTGTAGAAAAATGCCATTTCTGAGAAGTACTGATCATAGTCTGAAGATTAGTTAGGTAAAATTGGAGTTTCATTTTGACAATCAAATGTCATTCAATCTTGTACCTGTAAAAATTAGATTGCTTAGCTAACAGAAATAGTGTCACTGAGTTTTGTGTGTGTTTTGTAGAGTAAAAAGTATAGATAAATGTTTTACTTTAGAAATTATAATGTGATTGACATGAAGCTCCTCTTTCCCAGCCTTACTGAATTATGGTTACTCTGGTTAAATAAATGTTTTCCTTTTCAGTAAACAGCCGTCGTAACAGTTGAACAATGATGATTGAGCGCTAATAGCGCTCAATATAAATAGTGGAGAATTTACAGTCTGCTAAACATGAATGAGTCACAAGGCAGGTCCATGAGAATCTGCATCACATTTAAAAAACAAAACTAGAAAAAACAATTTAATGAATAAGTAATATCTGTAGTACATTATTAATAAGGTATGCACCATTCACAGTATTGCAGTAACATATGACAATAGTTGCCATTGGTAAACAATTGGAAAAATGTGCATATGGCATAGACTTTATTGGCATAGCCATTGTTAAACATGACAGCTGTCATGGTTGTAGCTGTTAATGAAAATTATGACATGTCTCATTGCATGTTTATGACACTTTCTTTTAGCTGCCATAAAGCAGATGTCATCAAATCCGTCATAACATGCAGGCTAACAGAAGGGAAGTTAGCAAAAATTAGCATGTGACATAAGCCATCCTGACATCAGAAATTAGAATTTCTGTCAAGACTCACCATTTCATATTACTGTTTAAATTACATGAAAGTTATATTAATAGATTATATTAATATATATTAATTATATTAAATTAAAGTTATATTAATAGAGACAATCTGTCATGACAACTCATGGCAGCAAATGCCACCGGCCATGACATGTTTATGGTATGGTTATGTCAACATTATGTAGCAGGGTTCAAACAAAAGTGTTCATATATCCTACAACCCTTTTTTTACCTGCTATGATTGGTAATTAATACTTTCTGATGTAATAGTCCAAGTCTGTTTTCCTTTATTTCATTAAATGGTTTGTTTTTTAAACTTCCTTCACATTTACTTTCTGTTTTCTTTTTCCTCTGTCTTAGGTTGAAGCAAACACAGTGGAGTACTTCCAAAAGTCTGAGATGACAGTGCTATAGACCTCTGAAGTCATGTTGTCATTCTGCAGTTGGTGTCATGCCCATATTAGGAAGTCTAAGCTGGCTTTCTCTATAAAATAAATAAATGGTGCTTTCGAAAATGTAAACTAAATTGTTACAAAGCTGATATATTTTTCTGTATCAACATTTTTTCTCTGATCATGGTCGGATCCTTTGAATAAAGAGTTTGTTAATGGGTCGAAATACAACTGCTGCTACATACTGGTGCACACTGAATTGACATCATAGAGCTGGCAGCCTCATTAAAATACCCCAAGCTTTGGCAGATGTGGCATGTTAGAGGCTTTGACAGTGTAAGGCTGTTTGAGTAGCTGATGTGATATACAATAATAGTGTTAAGTTTAATGCTTACTTTGATGTGAAGTAATTTCACAGGAGTGTTCGCTTGCTTGTACAATGTATGTAGTATTATTTGCCTGCTAAACAAACACTTAACTCCAAGGATCTCGTGACACTCTGAGAAAACAGTTTACACAGGACAAAACATAATTTCCTTTGGGGCAATAGTTTTTTAGTTTCAACACAGGATGTGATGGTGGGCATTTCTGTAAATATGGATTCATTACAGTCATTGGTATTTGTTTAGTTTTGTTTTGTGTTTTTTTTTTCAATAATTACTGTAAGGATGTATTATAACTGGATTTGAAAAGAAACAGGCTTGACAACAACTGAAGAGTTCAATTTTTAATAATGGTTAGCTGGCAAAACAATGTATACAAAATTCATGCAATTACAGATTGAAATGAACTTTTACATTGCATTTAAATATATATATCATGTGCATATAGCAGTCCAGTACAGCAGGCCACAATAGCACTGCAGACTTTTAAAGTGTTTAAAGAGAGAGAATGCTAATCTCTGCAGAGCTGTGGCCTGGAAGGAACCCAGTTTGACATGTCTAATACACAGTACTGTATTAGGCCAAGAGCTTGGTCAGTACAACTTAAAGCAATACACAGAAGTGCAGTGTGCGATTGTTTGTTGGTCTACAGTATGAATAGTAGTATAGTGAAATTATTACACAGTAAACCAGATGGCAAAGGAATCTCTACTACAACCGAAATTGGCATTGCATGCCGAAATTATGAGTCTCTACTAGGCCTGGGCGATAGGGTGATGTAATCGGATATCGTAGATAATGGACAAGTAACCTGATGCCAATGTGTAAAAGCTGATAATCGCCATTTTGGTAGAAGAACTAAGAGAGAATTAGAGCGGATTAATTAACCGTTAAACAGCCTGAAAATGGGGAAAAAAACATTTAAAGGGGGGGGAGGGGGGAGTTGTGGAATTATGGAATTATGAAAATGCTGCAGTAATGATGGAAAAAAACCTTGCTCTTAATGTCAAAAGTGCCTGAGCATAGCTTTGGAAATCACTTGCAGTCTGACGTTTCTTCAGCAGAGGGCGCTATTAGCACGCAAGTCACCACAAATTTGCCGCAGAAGCAGCTCATGAATACACGTTTGCACTAACATTTATTGTACTGACAGATGAAGTTCTTAAATGATGTCAGGTTGCGCAGTATCATATTATGTAATATGTGAGTTCTATTAAAGATTTTTATCAAAACATAAAAAGCATATAGACTAAAATGAAATAGAAAGTAGGTCAAAGCTTCCCCGGCATTTTACTTCATTTTATTTTTTTGCGGAATGTGGGGGTGTGGAGCATATTATCGATAATCAATAATCATGATTTTTTTTTTTAACTAGAAAATATCATGCTAATTATTTTTAGATATCGCCCAGGCCTAGTCTCTACAGATATATGTTGTGACTGAGATTAAAGGCACATGGGTCTTTTGTCATGTCCATAAGTAATCTTACATAAGCATTTGTACTCTAAGAAACCTGATAATTATGAGTCACACATAATCAAACACACAGAAAGCATCAGCCTGCTGGTCTGAGTCTCCTCAGACAAGTAGAAATAAAGCGCAGGGAATGAAGCACTGGATCATGCAGTTCTACTGAACATGAGCAAGGGCTCCAGCTCCTTGGCCAAACCCAAACCCCTTTGGACCAAAGTTTTTTGCATAGCAACCTAAATAAAACACAAAATTTAAAGGTTAAATCAATTAATATATATGTATGTAAATGCAGCTGTAAATGTAGGCGATTCCTTAATAACTGTAAAATGGTTCATCAGTTCAACCTAAAAAATATGAGGTAACAAGCAATTTAACAGGTTTTACTTAACTCACAGATGTATAACATTAAAGTTTTCCTAAAAGTAATATCTAGAATGCCTAGTATTTGAAACATTATCTAATTTTAGGCAGAAAATCTATAAATAAATTACTATAAACAGTTCATTAAACTATTTCATGACGTCTTGGTCTTTCCAAGAAAATGTAAATATTGAAAAAAATATTTTTTTTCACATTAATTTTCAGCTAGTGGGATGAAATTACCAAGTTCTATGTCAAATGCATTTGAAAACCATGTGATTTTATAAAATCCCTCTTTAATTTGAGTGTGCTCAGTAATGAGTAGCTTTATTAAAGCAGGGATTGCAGAGCCAAAGAGTTTTAATATATCTTCTCTGTCCAAAGAAATACGTGTACCTCTAAATAGTAACTTTAAAAGAGAAGGCAAAAAGACAATGACAGCCACAGTGTTCAAATGGCGCAAAAAATTAAAATTGCTAAAATAGAGGTACATTCTGTTTTTTGGACAGCATTGATTCGCTTTTAACGATTGTTTGTAAAAGAAAACAGTCAAATAATAAATTAGGCAAAACCTGTTCCTTGGCAGTGTTGTTAAACATACTTAAAATTTCAGGAAATAGCAGCTTACTTTTTTTTTCTGAAAACTATTTGGTTTCAGTTATTTTATTTCCTTCATCACATTAAGAATGTGACATGACAGGGATTTATTCATTTATTCAATGGCAGTTTTTTTTATTCACTGAAAGAAGTAAATGTGTTTTAAAAGCCCTCTCTTTTTTTTCTGAGCACAAATAATGTCAGCCATGTTAGTGGCAAAAATAAGACAAGCTTTTTTTTCAAGGCATTACATAACGCACAGTCACAGTATTTAGTATCAGACTTGATAAATCAGAGTAGGTGCTTCATTATAATAACCTCCTTCCAGTACTATGCACTTTGAGAAGCAAACTCCTATAAATGCATATGACAAATGCAAGAGGCAAAAGATCAGCCCTTTAATTGTTTTATGGGTGCTAATGGACCATTGGCTATTTAGTAAATCGCAATGGACACTTTCTAAAGCCAAAATGGGGTTTGTAATGGCACAAAATGTTAGTAAATGTGCCCCAACTCACCCTTAAACCACTACCATGTCAGTGTCATTGCAGTGCTGAGAATGGTTAACCACCCAAGTAGTACTTGCTCAGTGGTGGGGGTCCTGACCATTGATGAATCGGGTAAACGGATGTTAATAAATAATACAGGGAGACAGAGACTACAGTCTGTAATTGTAGAACTACAAAGTACATCTATGTGATATGCAAACATCAAAATATAATAGATAGAAAATAGATAATGAGTTCAGAGATAAGTATGCCTATGCACACATAAGGTACGTATACATAATAGTGGCAGGCGAGTTTATGTTTCCTCCTTTTTTTTCCTGACACTGAAATTTAATAATGTACATGATGGCCGTTTTGACTGAAAATTGAATGGTATGTATACACAGAGAGAGAGGAACAGAGAGAGAACGAGAAACAGAGAGAAAGAATTAATGTATTGTTTATCTATATAATTTATCTGAATTGTGCTGTATTGAACATGAATATACCTTTACAGTAGATCTCTCCATCTTTGTCAGCCAGAGTGGTGGATTCCAGACCTTTCCCACATTTAGCACAACGAAAACAGGTCTTATGCCACGACTGGAGAATGGATTAGAAATGTTGTTACAGTCTCAAAACAGTGTTAATTATATTTATTTGTACACATGTCTACAAGTTCGTGAACTGGTATAAAAAATCCATAAAAATATAGCTAAAATTTCTTGATTATATAATCCACTCAATGCAAGTCTTTAAGTGTAACAGGCAACAGATGACAACACTACAAAAACATTACAGAGTGCGCTGAATTTCTCTTTGGACAGCTCATTTTAATGTTTTTATTTTACAACAATGCCATTACATTTGTTTTACACTTACGCTTCCTGCTCCTATGACTTTCTCAGCTGCATACACAGCTTTGTTACACCGTCGGCATACCTCAGAGCCCCCAAACCTCTGAGCAAACATGGAGGTGTTTGAGTTGTTAGTGGGCTGATGAGGTTGAGCTCTGCAAAGAGAGAAAGAGAAATTTACATTGTTTTGTTATGATGAAAATGTACATATATGTTGTGGAATTCTTCAAATAAAAATGCTTACACTTCATGTTTAATTCCTAATGACTCGCCTCGGTCCATACTCAGTGTTCCAGCTCCTCCACCATAGCCATAGCCTTTTGGCCCATATTTCTTGGCATAGCAGGCCTTGCAATAGACTTCATTCTCATGGACGGCCACGGTTGTGCTGTCCAGGTTTTTACGGCACACCACTGAAAGCACAGGGGAGACAAGATGTGGTTATGTACAACTAATATACACTTGTATGTCACTATTATCATTGTAATATTGTATTTAAAAACCTTTACTCTGGAATCTATGCTACTTTAATGAATCATTGACTTATGCTTATTAGTTTATGTTTTCCATTTTCCCACAACATTCCTATGACATTCCCATGAAACCCTAGTTTATCTGCACAATAGTGTGGTTTGATTAGCTCGTGTGATCAGCTCTGTTAAAAGGCTAAAACACTTAGTGCTTACTCTGTTATATCTGATGACAGCACAGACAGTAACAGTGCACAGCTATTGATACCAGTCATGTATGTAATACTGCAGCATCACAGCTGTTAAGAACATTTTTCCAGCAACTTTCAGTAGCAATTGAGTGAGATAGTCTTTTTACTACTGCTCATGTTGGAATGAAAAAAAGACAGGGGCCCACAGACAATTGGAAACAGGCATGCTCCTGCTTAAATGCAATGAAAATCTGCAGCCACTCAGCCCCTTTGCAAATAACACTACACACCCCTGGTGTAAACGTTCAGTGGTTTACCCTAGTCACAGTTCGTAAGAATCAAGCGTTCCATTTTAAATTCTTTTTTAAAAATGCTGCTTTCTTAAGCAAACAAATGTTATTACTACTTTTCCAGCTGTAATATATATTTGCAAAGTCAGCTGGTAATCTTGAAAACACCACCCAAGTAGAGTTTGTGATCCTAGTTTAAAATGGTAATGCTTAAATTCTGAAAAGATAAACAAAAATAAACATAGTATACCTAGAATACAAAGTTTCTTTTCTGTACAATACTCACAGGTGATATATAGGTTAGAGCTAGTCTGCCTCAAGAAACTAGCCTTTGGTAGCTAACAGAATGTGTGTAAATAGGTGTGGTTTGGAGTTCTGTTAAAATGTTATCAAGTCTGGAACATTCCTCAAACTCAAACAGCATCTAAACTTCCATATAAGGAAGATGAATAACTTCCTGCTTTCAGATACTTCCTCAAATATGCACATTCATCTGCTAACTATTACAAAATGCTTCAAAATCCTCCCCTTGTTGCCGTACACACGCACACATTTTCTAAGCCGCTTATCCTTCCGGGCCGCAGGGTTGTTGCCTTCAATATTCAAAATATATATTCCTAAAGCAATAACACAGGAAGACTTTTCTATAATTTCTATTCTCTTCAAAAATGTTTACATTCAAATGAATTTGTACAATGCTTTTTACAAAGAAAACATTTGCAATGGACACAGGCTAGATAAGAGAACGTTTTTTGTGTGAGACACTAGAAGGCATCAAAGAACAGTCCACCACTCACAACCTCTCCAAACTCTTAGTATTAAGAGTATTAATACTCAGAGCATTAACCCATGACATTTACTATAATAACAGTTCATTTTAGTTTTCAATCAGGACACACACAGAATGTGTTTTTGTGTTTCAAGGTACCAATGTGCCCTATAGGTTATGGCCTTGGTCATAAAACAAAGAGGCTAATCTGCAGGTCTGCAAATGAGTAGGAAGTTGCCAATTGCAGCTCCACCTAGAATACTAGTTTCTCTGCCACAAATGTTAAAAAATAACGAAGATGATAATCTGTGATAACCTATGATAACTTATTTTTACAGATATTGTCTAGCAATTATATGTGTATGACAAGGCATTCTTTAAATGTTAAAAATAAATTCTGTTCATCTAACCTCAGAACAGAGTTAACTCAGAGAGTGCTAGCCATAAAACTGGGAAAATAAAATGAACTCACTGCACAGGAAGCAGGACTTGTGGTAACTTTGGCCATCACACTGCACTTCCTCTGCAAAGTAGACTGTCTTTTGACAGCAGCCACATTTGTTTCCACCCCCAAGAGGCATCCTGAAACACACATCAAAAGATGTGAACATATACAGTACCTTGTGTGTCCTTAGGTACCTAAGCACAATAAATATTTAAAACTATTTATACAGGCAACTACAGGCAAGTATTAAGTCGAGTCCCAAGTCAATAGTTCTAATCTTCGAGTCCTAAACAGGTTAGTATGCATTCTTCAGCTAATTTAAGGCCATAACACTGAAAAATGGTAACAGTATATAGCCTATAGCCTTTTAACAACAGCATGTTAGTAGTGTGTGGCTGTAGATTAATTTGTCATTATTTTTTTACCCTTCCAACTAAAATACAAAACCCATGGTACTCAGATAACCCTCATGAAAGAGTTCTTAAGAATGTGCTATAGATGGTTCTATATGCAACTTTTTGAATAGGGTTATTTTTTTTAAAAGCGTTCTATTGTTACAATGTCAAGCTTTCTCCATCAATATGAATAACCATTTCATGATGCAAAGAACCCTTTAATACATCAAAGGGTTCTTTGAGTGTTCATGGTTCATTTACAAATAATTTTCTTTACTAAAAACCTTTGAAGAACCATCCTTTTCAAGAGTGTGTGACAGACATACTCATGAAAATAACTTTAAAAAGTACATAAACCTAATTTAATATACACCGATCAGGCATAACATTATGACCACCTCCTTGTTTCTACATTTATTGTCCATTTTATCAGCTCCACTTACTATATAGGTGCACTTTGTAGTTCTACAATTACAGCCTGTAGTCCATCTGTTTCTCAGCATACTTTGTTAGCCCTCTTTTACCCTATTCTTCAGTGGTCAGGACCCCCATTTCAGTCCAGTAATGACACTTAGGTGTTTAAAAACTCTAGCAGCACTGCTGTGTCTGATCCACTCATACCAGCACAACACACACTAACACACCACCACCACATCAGTGTTAAAAGGGGGCTAACAAAGTATGCAGAGAAACAGTTGGACTACGGTCTGTAATTGTAGAACTACAAAGTGCACCTATATAGTAAGTGGAGCTGATAAAATGGACAATGAGTGTAGAAAGACGGAGGTGGTCATAACGTTATGCCTGAATCCTTTACACGGTGATATCAACCCCTCAGGAAAACACAGAACACCATTAGTGACTACTGAAAACCACCAGGAACCAACAGACACTTTTTATGGGTTCTATGACTTTTTTCGACAGGTAGGTACATTAAATGGAATTCTCTAGCTGTGTTATGGACGGAAAATGGATTAAGTGATGATATCAAGCGGAAGCAGCCAAACGTTAATGTGCAATGTTGTTAGGTTAGTTTAACACCCAATTTTGTGAGAAGGGGAATGCTGCAGACCAGAGACCTAAAATTGTCATAAGCACAAAACACTGAAGGCAAACAGTTTCCATTAGGAACCAAGTGGCTATGAAATAACTTTTTGTAAACAAAGTTTCAGTGGAAACAGTGCTTGTATAAACTCAAACCAATCATAACTGCATATGTGCACATATTTCTATATTGTGTTCATGTATTTACCCACAAAGTCAGGAAGAATATGTTCTGTCAGTTCACAAATGCTTTCATGTGTGATTGTCAGTCAGTATTTGCTTGAAGTCCTGCTTTACCTGCCAAAGAGACCTAAGCGCGTACACATGCACAGATAAGACAAAAGGAATGACAGATTTCTCACAACGTAGTGGAGTAAAAAATAAGATATGTGACTTTGAAATGTAGTGGAGTTAAAGTAAAAAGTTGCCCAAAATAGAAATACTTAAGTAAAGATACATGAAAAACAATAGTTAGTGAAACAATCTGAAATAAGAAATTACGTGATACTCAAGGCAACTTCAAAGTTTTAAACTATCCTCCCACTTCCGCGTGCCTGAACAGTATGTAACGCCTTTTTGCACTTTCCTTCAAACCACTGGCTGATGCACAAAATGATAGACAGGTAATTCACACTTGTGATTGGCCAATGCAAGTTTTGATTGACAGTTCATCTCTGTTATATGATTGGCCAATGCAAGAAATGATTGACAGCGCCTCCGCCCATTCGTTACGCCCACTGGTTCTCCGGGCTGCAGTTACATATACTTGGACTGCTGCACCATTTAAGGTGGAACGACAAATTCCAATATGAAGCTGGCGGATAAGGAGTCAACTTCAGCTTGGTGGTGAATGTTGCCCTTGTTTTACGTGCAGAAGCTGTTAAATTTGGTCAAATAGAGAGAGATGTGTCTCTTTCGTTCTTTTGTCCTGTCCAGTGAGGAAAATTGTCGTGTTCGCCTGGTAGTTTCTCCAGTGAGAGTAAGTGCTGAGGGCTTATTGATACTGTTGATGCTTGGCTTGTTTAACGCGCTTGTCTTCCGAAATAAACCGAGGAAAGCACAGAGTACCATGTAATAGACACCTGACGACGTCGCTGTATATTCAATTTAGGAAACAAATTAATTCACATGAAAAGTGATCGGCTGTGTATCAGTCTGCAGTCAGACGCCTCTCCACGCTTCTTCTACTTTGCATCTCGTTTTTCTCAAGTCATTAAATTTGTGATTCGAGTCCTAGTCATATGAGCTATTTGAGGTGGCCCTCAAACTGTTTGAGCTGGCCCTCAAATAGTAGAGTTAAACGGCTTCCAGTCACACTGTAAACAGTGGCTGACACTGCTGCCGTTGCTGCGTTCCTAAATGCACCAATAATAAATACTGTGCTGTCTCTGTGCTGGTTGTGGTGTTCAGGGCACTTGCTAACGTTGCTAATGTTTACATAGACTGGACTTTTTTTCCTTCAAGATAGACTAAAGAAACTTGCACATACTGTGCTCTATCTGTTTAGGGATGTGCGATGTGGTGCCATATATGCCATGAATCTGTCTTCTCAACCCTCTTAGTAAAAACTGAAACTCCAGATTTACTGCCAGTCCCACCTAAAACAAGTGCTAGTGGGCATGACACGACAGGTCACAGAGGCTGATAAGCATATTTAAGCAAAGTGTATGTGTATAGTGTGTGCTGACCTGTTGCAAATCTTTGTAAATTCAATAAAATCAGTACAGTAAAATACAGATAATGCCTTTTGTTGTAAAACTAAGAGTCTTCATTGTTGTAAAGACTGAAAATAGCTCAGTAGCACAACGTCAGAAAGAAGCGAATTATTTTAGATAATAAAAAAAATCACTTTACCTGGAGTAAGTTAGCTGGTAGACAGCAGCTTGAAGTCAGTTGAATTGGTTTTATGATCCAGATGATCAGATGAGAATTGTAGAGTCCTGAAAGTTGCTTTGAAATTTCGACTGGTGGTACGTGGCTGTGTGAGCTTCCTACTCAAGGGCTAGGGGTGGGGCAAAAACCAGAGAGAGGGACAAGGAAGTGAGTCAAAAGTATGCTTTGTGGTGAGACATTAAAGAAATACTGCCACCTCGTATCATGTTCATAAGTGCTTTTGCCCCCTCTGCTGGTTATATAAAGAACTACTACCAAATGGTACCAATAACAACCCCAGTCCATGGAAGGAAGAAAAACAGGTAATTACTTGATATGAGAATCTTGAGCCTCTTCCAGAAACATGTCTTAACACAAAAAGCTCACTAAAGATCAGAATGCAAATACTGCTACAACTCCCACGTTTTATGTAGAAATTCTATATGAGTCTTGCTTTTTTTAATGCAAAGCACATCATGGACCTGGTTTGTAACTCACTTATTAACATACTCACTTACGTTTAATAAGTGGGAGCTACTGGCACTCTAGGGGAAATTCCTGGTGGGCTGCTGAGAAAGTGAGAAAGAGAGAAATACATGTTTTTCTAATATAGTACTATATAAAATGAATGGAATTGGGACAAACGGCATGTGCAGGCTGAATACTGGAGTGCACATATTTAGACATATAAGTGGCCCACTGCACTTTTAGTGTGTAGCCATTAACCAGTCCGCCGCCCACAGGTGAATTTAGTGCCTAATACAGCCATGCTGTAGAAGTTAAATCTATGCAATTTACAGAACTCCGCTTCGTCACGAGGCTGAAGTTAGTTACTTATTCGCAGCTCCCGATTCTTTTGGCTCCTTATTCTCAGCGTCTTATTCGCCGGCTGAAGTTAGCTCCTTATTCGCGGCTTCTCTTTTAGCGAATGACGGTAAACAAAGGGAGTGTTCACAAACGCTATATGCTGAACAGTTTCCCATTTTAACAGACTCAGAGAGACTAATGGTGGAGACATACTAATGAAGGAGTTAGGAATGTGTACTGTGTTTGCCTTACCATTGTGAACATGAAGATTATAACTATAAAGGAATAAAATGTCTAATTCTATAAATATATGATGTTCCTTCAATTCATTTCCAATACTTTTTTCATTGCAATTTTAAAGTATTAGACTGAAGAAAAAAATAAGGGTGAGTTTATGAATTAGAGTTATTTCCAATCGTAGATGTACCTGGCAAAATGGCACAATGAGTAATTGTGCATAAAAAGAAATAGACAAGAAACAAGAAATTTCAGAGGGGTGTACTGGCATGGAAGAAAACCAATAACAGATTCCAAACACAAAAAACACTGTCCCTATAAGGAAAAACAGGTTTTAGCCAGGCCCAAGCTGATTTAATACATTAAAATAACTGGCAACGTGGCTCATAGAGCAGTAATGCACACAATGAAAGGAACAGGAAGCTGAAAATCCAGGTGGATACTGGAGGCATTATTCACATTGGGCCAGGATAATTACATATCCTACACAGAGATCCAGTCTCCTCCTGGAAGGAAAAGCTGATTTTATCCTGGCCCAAGCTCATTTAATACATTAAAATAACTGGCAAAATGGCACATTATTCAGTAATGCACACAATGAAATGAATAGGCAGCTGAAATTCCAGGTGGACACTGAAGGCATTATTCACTTCAGGCCAGGAAAATTACATATCTTACATAGGGATCCAGTCTCCCCCTGTAAGGAAAACATGGTATTAGCCTGGCCCAAGCTGATTTAATACATTAAAATAACTGGCAACATAGCTCATAGAGCAGTAATGCACACAATAAAATGAATAGGAAGCTGAAATTCCAGGTGGATACTGAAGGCATTATTCACATCGGGCCAGGAAAATTACATATAATTGATAGAGAACCAGTCTCGCCCTGTAAGGAAAACCTGGTTTTAGCCTGGCCCAAGCTGATTTAATACATTAAAAATGACTGGCAAAATGGCACATAGAGCAGTAATGCACACAATGCATTAAACAGGAAGCTGAAATTCCAGGTGGATACTGGAGGCATTATTCACTTCGGGCCAGGATAGTTACATATCCTAGATAGAGATCCAATCTCTATCTAGGACATGTGAATAAGGCCTTCAATATGTACCTAGATTTTCATCTTCCTATTCATTTCATTGTGTGCATCACTGCTCTATGTGCTATGTTTCTAGTCATTTTTAATACATTAATTCAGCTTGGACCAGGCTAAAACCTTACAGGGGGAGACTGGATCTCTATGTAGGATACATAATAATGCTAGCCCGAAGTGAATAATGCCTTCAGTATCCACCTGGAATTTCAGCTTCCTATTCATTTTATTGTGTGCATTGTTGCCTAATCTGCCATGTTGCCAGTTATTTTAATGTATTAAATCAGCTTGGGCCAGGCTAAAATCAGGTTTTCCTTACAGGGGGAGATTGGTTCTCTATCTTGGATATGTAATTATCCTGGCCTGAACTGAATAATGCCTTCAGTATCCACCTGGAATTTCAGCTTCCTATTCATTTCATTGTGTGCATTACTGCACAATGTGCCATCTTGCCAGTCATTTTTGATGTATTAAATCAGCTTGGGCCAGGCTAAATCCAGGTTTTCCTTACAGGGGCAGACTGTTTCTCTATCTATTATATGCAATTATCCTGGCCCGAAGTGAATAATGCCTTCAGTATCCACCTGGATTTTCAGCTTCCTATTCATTTCATTGTGTGCATTACTGAATAATGTGCCATTTTGCCAGTTAATGTATTAAATGAGCTTGGGCCTGGCTAAAACCAGGTTTTCCTTACAGGGGGAGACTGGATTTCTGTCTGGGATATGTAATTATCCTGGCCCAATGTGAATAAGGCCTTCAGTATCCACCTGGAATTTTATCTTCCTCTTTATTTCATTGTGGGCATTACTGCTATATGAGCCATTTTGCCAGTTTTTTTATGTATTAAATCAGCTTGGGCCAGGCTAAAACCTGTTTTTCCTTACAGGGACAGTGTTTTTTTGTGTTTGTAGTTCTACAATAACAGACTGTAATTCATCTGTTTCTCTGCATACTTTGTTCACCCCTTTCACCTTGTTCTTCAATGGTCAGGGTCCCAACAGGACTACCACAGAACAGATAAGGCGTGTTCGACTTAACCCGGCGCTGCGCAGACCGATTGCAGCCTGGCTCGGTATGGTGCATGCCGGTTAGTCTTTTTTTGTCCGGTTTGAGCCAGTCGCTGCCATAGACATACATACCTAGATGCCGCGTTGCCTGTTGTTTTCTATGTGAGGCGAGACGTCTGCGCGTCAGCCATGTTGGTGCGGTCAAGATCCGCTGGTGAACAAATTCACTTGTATTGAGAGATGATGAGTCTCAGGATTAAATCGGCTACAATTTCTTTATTACTCAACTGATTTTCACCAAATTTGTTTTGTTATAATCCTCAGGGATAGATTAATCTAGGCTACACGGACTGCTCTCGGTAGCTTTTATTTCTTTAATAACTGATCGTGCTAATTAGCTGTCCGGACCAGCAGAGAAGTATTCAGTCTGCACCTGACGTTAAAAATCGAGCTCCGGTAGAAACATCAGCAAATCCATCAATGTGTGAATCACTTCTAATCTTAATACACATAAAAATAAAATAAACTCCCCAAACCACAGTAAGAAGGACGAAACTGAATGGCTTCCTATTCACCTACTTCTTCGAGTTTTCCCGTTTCACCTTAACTTTCTGGTGCCTGAACCTGCACCATTTAAGGTGGAACGGTTCGAACAAGAAATTCGAACAAGAAGCTGACTTCAGGTTCGTGTAAGAAGGTGCTAACATTAATCTATTATGAATATCTACACGGATTAAGGAATGCTATAATTTACCTACAAAGCAATAACCATGATTGTTAATAAATAACTACTACATAAAGTTAAGATCCCCTGAATATATATATTAAAACCAGAGGAAAAACAATCATATCAACAGGTTCTCTGTGCCTCACCAACCTCACAACCATATCTACACATACACATCACACAAACAATACGCATCACACAAACATGAGCGTGGATCACTGCGTTCCCTCCGTTATATAATCCTATTCCACTTTCTGAGTGCAATATTGTTTAAATAGTATAATTTTGGACAGTATATTACCTAAACTGTGGCTCTGTAATGGTACTCAATGCAGCCCAGCAGCGATGTTGACCGCCCTTAAATGGCGGCGCCGTTGACGTGCCTGACTGGACCCAACGTGGCATCTAGGTATGTATATCTATGGTCGCTGCAGTTGCTTCCCGCGAGCTGCGCGAGATGGCTTGATGACGACAGAGCTTAATCCTCATTGGCTAGAAGCTCCGCTGACATCTGTGACGCGGGTTTCATTTTATTCTAAAATGAAACTTTTTTTCTAAAATGTAAATCTCCGCTTTAGCTCTTAAAGACCCTATATTTACGCTAATACTATCATGCTCTCTAGTAGCATGACAGTTTATTTTCGTGCAGTTTTCAACGTATTTAATGTCATAATTGTCATTTCATGTCGTGAAAAGACTCGAGTGCCTGATATTTCTTCAAACTAACATATCTATCTTTTTATCTTGATATTTTTCTAGAACCTCTAATGGTTTTTGTCATCTTATTTTATTTTTATGAAGCACTCCGAAATACTTTTATGATTTATAACGACTGTTTTTTTAAAGCACTACATTACTATTGCACTTTGATTTATTTTTCTGTCCACTCTGTAAACTTTGTAAATGTTTTAAAATATAATAAACAAATAAAGCTGTGTGTATGAACATGGTGTTATGTTTCTTTACAAGAACCAACAACAGAAAGTAAGCTGCTTTGGAATATAAGAACAAAGCATTGTGTTGTTCAGAAGATGACTGTGTTAAGAAATCTTCAATTAACCATAGCCACTTTGCATCTTCAATGCCTGAATAATTGCTTTGCCTGTACCTGAAGAAGCACAGACTTCTACACAATCATACAATGTACAAATTAACCTCATTATTCATTAGTGACTCATATTGGGCACATCCTTCATTGGTTTTCCTACTGAAGTACTGTTACACAATACATCCATAAAATAACATCTGGTATTGCATGT